TATTCTTTATGGTTTTTTCATTTTCATGCATATTTTATGGAAGAATTCATTCATTGGATTAATAGTGACTAATACTGGACTCTTTTGCGTTTTCTAACTGTGTGTGAGAACTTTAATTCTTCTCAGGGTTTCTCCCACAAATTTTGGAGTTTGCTCAATTCCTCATTAGAAGTGAGGTATAAATATGCACTTCATGTATTTTCCTGTTGAGTCTATCAAAATTCATGATTTATTTGTAGACAAGACTTACACTGCTTAGTTAACAATATCCTATCATATGTCATGGTATTATTCATAAAAGCAAACATAACAAGACCTAATGTTCAACGATTATTTCCTTTAATTTATACATAGTCTTTTGGTATTTGTGGAGTCATAGAACATTTTATAATGCCAAAATTGGGTCTTGCTAATAAGCTCGTCAATAATGAAATACACTAAAGTTGTCCTACTGTTAAGTCTGGGGAACATACGAAATGAGGCTTTGCAATACCAAACTAATCTATTCACTCCAAGTAAAACAACAGCGTTAATAATTGATATAAGAGATCACCAAATGATCATAGGAAACATCCTTTCCTAACCATACTCTCTCTGGAGTATCATACTGTAGAGGGAAACAGAGTGAATGGCGAACTACTGTGAGTAACACTTCACCCCAAATCTTTTAGACAACTTTGCATGTGAGAGTAGACATCTGACTCTCTCCATCAAAGTTCTATTCATCCTCTCAGTAAAACTGTTCAGTTGCGACGTCTTGGGAGGTGTCGTTTGAAGTTGAATGTCATGCTCTTTGTAGAAAGCATCAAATGGCCTAGTGTATTTTCCACCATTATCTGTTCTGATGTACTTCAGCTTTTTGTCTGTGTGTCTCTCAACCAGGTTTAGAAGACTTCAACATGTATACCTAGGTCTTCCTAGAATGGTCATCGATAAATATCACAAAATATCGATTTCCACCATATGACATTGTCAATGGTCCACACAAATCTGAATGAATGTTCTCTGGAACCCAAGGTAAATTATTTGAAGGACTTTATATGTAAATAATTACCTTATTTTTTTACAAGAGGTATTACCTAGAATGGGTCAATAAGATGAAAATAACTCAAAAAAAATATGATCGTGAATTTTTCTTATTAGCCCTAATAAATAATGAACATTAACGATCTCCTAATGGAGTTGCCCCACAATAAAATTGAATGAATCAGATTTCATAGATTCTTCAACTTCTAGAGAGGATGGCGATTAGAGAATCTTGAAAGCTACTCCTTGTTTAGCTTTCCATGCCATACAATCGAGAAGACACTTATTAGGTGACTTACATCTATATTACTCAGGTACGGTATAACATATTGATAATGCTAATACTTCTGCAAAGAGTTTTCATTGGCATTCTCTAAACGTCTCTGTAAAACGTAGCAGCGGGTGGGTTCGTTTTTGATGATGCCATACAAGTCAAACACGTGGGTAAACTGCTGAATTTCTCTCAATCGTTACAACTTCAAGCTAGATGCCTTGGAGAGAAGAGTGTCGCATATGTCATCCACGCTACTTAACTTTCGGTCCTTCTAAGCATAACCTAACAAATGTAACCGTAATAATTATGTGAGCTCTCAAAACAGAAACCCAAATTGGTATTCGAAAAGTATGTGCCATTACAAGAAATACCCTTATCAAATCCAAATCTGGCCCTCAACATGCACGAATTTGGACGCATGCTCAAAGCCCATTCCCTTCAATGCAAGTCTTGGTCATTTCTTTTTTTTACCACGGTTTTAGTTCAACTAAACACAGGCAAATGCATTTTTAATTATCCGTCTTAAGGAGGCATATCTCATTTCTCAACCACTTAGTATTTAAAAAGTATGGGCGCTAATTTCAGACCTCGCACTCAATAATGCCATTCTGTGCTTGTCCATTTTTGACCTTTGATGCAAAGAATATCTATTCAACCTAACATAATCGGTCATATAATCGTGAGGTAACTTAGTAATAAATGTTATATTGAAAAATCTAACGCTGAAGTGAAGTGCTAAGAAGACAAGCCTGGTCATAATGATAGAACATAGTAAGAGTCATTTATAACATTAGAAATGAGATCTAACTTCGAATGCAATTAAAAGCGATACTGAATAAATGAGTAGGAGATGAAATTATGCATGTTCGACATTTGACACCTAAGGGACAGTGTTATTACCGTCGTTACAGTCAATAGTAAACTTATGGCGTGGGAAATAGTGGTGGGCCCTTACTTGAAACGGCTCAGCAAACCAGTACCAGGGTCTAAATAGTAACTATTCACACAAGTCAACGCACAAGTTTTATATTTTTCTATTCATCACTAAGTCATTTGCAAACGTTTTTTCCGGCGGACAAACGGCGTAGACAATATACGTACAAGAGTGTCGGGAAAAGCCTCTTTTTCGGTCGATTTGTGTGGTATACGTTTTATACACTAGTTCACTAATCTTTTCGACATAACTGAATTCCTACATGCAGAATAATTTTATTTTTGATCAAAACTCACATATCCCACGGATCCCGGTATCCAAGGGCACAAAAAATAAACAAAAGGAAAAATGCTTCCCAACGATGGGAAAAAAAACCCCCCCCAAACCCAACCCCGAGAAACTTGGGACATTTTGGCCCGGTCACTGTATTGATTCGCCAATCTGTTTGCGTAAATCTCCCTAGACCAGTCTTGGACCCTGATGGTCGATACCCTCTCGAGACTCTGATACCTCCTCGTTAGGCCAAATTAGATTATCGGGGAACTCTGATACTAGTGTTCTTGTTTGGGGTCAATCAGCTTCTGATTAACAGTTTATTGGGCCTTTTAAACCATTAAGAAGAAAAATAATTACGGCAGCCGGAAAAATAGAAAATGGGAACACACAGAAATTTACGTGGCTTTTCACCCTTACTGTTTAGGGCTACGTCCGACGGGACAACCCGAATCATTCTTTCCACTATTAAAAGTAGGGTACACAAGAGGGTAAATACAAAATAGTGGACACAAAAGTGTTTTCCGCAAAAACACTCCAAAATAATCCTCACTATTTTTTTCTTCTCCTCGTTTTTAGTTGGAAAGCCCTTTCCTAAAACGCTAACACTCTTTGCTACATTTTCTTTTCTGCGTGTGTTTAACGCGTAGGCAATGCGTGTAAACTCTTTCCAAGTTGCACGCGCCCCATGTGCAGCAATTCAAAACCATCACTGTTGAACTGGGGTGCCTCCTATTTTTTTTTCTTATTTCACATGTTTGGGTTCCCATTTAAGGGGCACACAACATAAAATATATAGAGCCCCAAATTTTAGATTTTTGGGGTTATAATTATAATATATATATTTTATTTATTTATTTATTTTTTTTTTTTTTTTCAGGCTAATGTCCCTGCTTGAATCAAATTTTCCCACTCTCTTTCTTCTAACGCGTTTGTCACTCCTTTTTTTTTTTTTTTCAGGCTATGTCCTGCTTGGATCAAATTTTCCACTCTCTTTCTTCCTAAACGCGTCACTCCCTAGAGTCGTACGCATGCCCTGTGACCACATTTTGCTACATACGCAAAATTTCACTAGTGGTCCTCTGAATATGACCCTTCTTTTACTAGTATGACAGAATGCCTCACTATATTTGCTGATATTTTCCACGGGAGACCAAATTCAATGTCGATATCTTTGAATTCCAGATATTTAATTCACATTATTCTTTTTTTCTTTTTTTAATAGAAATTAAAAGTTGATTAGTCAATTTGAAATTAGTTAGTTATGATAGGTAAATAATGTTAAGTGTGAACGAGAAATAGAGTTATTTAATTGATTAATTAGTGTAGAAAATAATGAAATTGCTGAGTCAGAAAAGTGGGAGCGAGTAAGATAGTGAAATGCACTTGGATGGTCAATACAAACTCTTTGGGAGAGTGACTTGACTTTTTCAAGTATACGTACCTTTCCCTTTCAGAATCTACTAACGCCTCCATATTAGGTAGTAGGGTCTCCCTTCAAAAACCATGAGCTGCAAATAATAATAATAATAATAATATTTTTCTTTTCTTCAAAACATTACTTTCAACGAAGAATTCTAGTCATTTTAGGACCTCTTGTCATTTGAAAAAAAGAAAATCAAATTACATTCCAATCACTTGCTTACATTTGGAGCATTCTTTAGAAAGTCTTCTTTTTCATTTCTTTCATCAAATAACCTTTAGCTTAATTGCGGTAAAGTTATTGTCGTTACAAATCAAGATTACATGAATCGAGTGGTTATTCTGATTATACATTTTGCATTTTTTTTTAAATTACTTTCGAGTATAATAAAATGCAATTGTTCATTTTCTTACTTTTAATGTTTCTTCTCCAAGTTTTTCATTTAGTATCAAGATTCTAGGTGCGGATGTATGAGATGAACCTGTTGGTTTGTGTTAGTTTGATTCTTTTTATTAAGTTTTTTCTAGTTTATTAATAAAATTAAAAAGTTTAAGATTAAAAAAAAAGAAGATATATTTGATTATTAGTTTTTTTTTTAAAAGTTCAAATATCATGGCACATATCCTTCATTATCCCAAATAATGAGAAGCCAATAAGTGAATCATATAATACGTGCAATAACAACTTTTATAAATCATGGAGAAAATAACTAATAATTGTAGCCATTGTTGTCTGCATAGGTGGGCCAATTGGGCTTATTTGAAAGAGATTAACATTATTGTGTTGAATACCAATCTACACAAACACTTTTTTGATTCATAGGATTGATGTGATGGTGATATATATATACATATATATATATATTTTTTTTTTTAAACAGAGAAGTGAGTGCAATTGGAAATCTGACCAAGCTAGAATGGGGTTTTTGCTTTCCGCATTATCTAAGAGGCGGGGAAGCCCAAAACCACTCGTTTGGTAAAAGTCATTTATAACTATTAGTTTTTGGATAAAAAGCAAAAAAATTGAGAATTTTGACACACATTTTGGATATTATAGTATACATGATGACATGACGATAAACTTGCATTAATGGCAGAGAAGCAGTTGCTGTTACATTTAAAACAAAAGAAAGATGCAATAAAAAAAAAAAAAATTCACAATACAAAACAAAAACAAAAACAAAGTAAAAAAAGAACAACCTATATGCTTTCCATCTATGGGAAGTTGAGTAAACTCTTTCCAAACCTATTTTGAGCATTGATTTAAAAAAAAAAACAAAAAAACCCCTAGATATTAGCTAAAATAGCCTGCATTTTCTTTTCAAATAGGCCAAGCCTGTAATCAGCCAACCTTGACTTGTAAGCTGAGCTTTTGTATTCATACCATGTAAACTGCTCATATAAGCTTTCTTCACCTTCTGCCAAAAGAGAAGGAAAAGGAGCAATCTTTTCACTTAAAGGTGGACCACCAAAGTAGATCATAGAAATTCTTGATTTCATATTGTCAGCCAAAACTCTGTGTTTCACGCTCCTAAACCTTCCATTAGTCATTACCTGCACACCCAGAGGCACAAAATTCATTAAAAACATGGAAATAACAAGTACCCTTTTTGTACTCTTCAAATCTTATCTCAACTTAAGAGTATGAGTCAAAGCTTAAATAATTGATTAGATAATAAAATACTGATTTTATGAGAGAGAAAGTGCAGGTTTTATATCCTATGTCCAAAATAGACAAGTATGGAATTTTTTTTTAAAATATATAAATATAAAATAAAAATAGAAGTGTCATCAAATCAAATAAAAAATTTTAAAAGAATTAATAGGTACCTGCAAGGCATCACCAATATTGATGAAAAAAGAGGTCTGATCAGGTGGGACTGAAACCCAAGTCCCATCTCTCAGACAGATTTGCAGGCCAGTTGTGTTGTTAGATCTTAAGACAGAAATTATCTGTGGGTCTGTGTGCTCCCCAAACCCAATCAAGTTTCTACCACTCAATGCTTGAAGCTCCGGGCATGGCGGATAGTAATTTAGCCTGAAACATGAATCGCTCTTCTCATCGCTTACCAGCTTACTCAACACATTTCTTGGTTCAATCCCTAATCCGTCTGCCATCAGTTCCAATACTTCATATGTCATTCTTTTTACTTCCAATATATAATCTTCCACTGCAGAACTGCACATATACATAAAACGTAAAATGTTATTCGTTTATTTTTATCAAAGCTGAAATTTACGTTCTTTCCTCTGTTTTGCTCTGTTTTGTGTGAAACAGAGCAACAAAGCAAATAAGTAACTAAGTTTGGAGGTGAATAGAAATTTACCGGAAATTTTGTGGGTTTTCTTGGAAAATGGAGAGAGTTTTATTACAGTTGACTTGAGGATTTGTATTAAGGAGGAGGTATTCAATCCAACCAACATCACCATTTGGGCCAATTCTTTTGTTGCCATATCCAAAAGGGTCAGGCGGCCCTGCTTTGTCTTTCTCTGACTGAGGAAGATTAAAGAAATTCATAGCCAGATATTCTAATCTGGTCATGAACTCAAATGGGACTCCATGATTGACCAATTTGAAAAACCCAAACTCCTGACAAGCTTCAACTATGCGTGTTTTGGCTTCTGGGTCTTTTAAGTCTATAACTGGAATTCCAGTAAATAAGCCATTAGTAGGCTTGCATGTTTTCATTGAAGAGTAATGGTCTAATGCTGTCTGTGATAGAACCACCATGGCTATGCTTTTCGGCTTTCACGATATAAACGCAAGAAAAACCAAAAACGAGAAGGAAAAAGGAAAAAAGAATGGTCCGAAGAAGAGGGAGAAGAAGAAGGTGAGATTGGGTTGCACAGATTGTCGAGCTTGGCGGGTTATATATGGGCAAATGGGTGAGGAAGCTAATGCATGAGATGAGAGAGGGAGGAGGGACAGAGGCGTTGCTAACTATAAAGAGGGAGCCATCTGGCCTTGTGTGTCTGCTTGGCATTTATGCTATCGAGGGAGTGAAATTGCTCAGATTTTTCCTTTTCTTTTTCTTTTTTTTTTTTCTCTAGAAATTTTATTGCCTAGTAGTATTTGATAAATGAAAAATCTAAACCTCAGCCTAAAATTTTAAAAATATAAAATTTGACATGTGGGGTCCCATGTTTAACCTAGCCCAACACATTTCACATAAAGGAAAGAAATAAATTTCAGTTTTTCTATTATTATTTTACAAAATCAGCAAGTCTTAAACCTTAATTTACATAAAAGGAAATAACAAAATGTGGTAAAACAATTAAAACAATTTTTCATTTAATAAAAAAAATATAAAATCAACTTTCCTTAAACAGATTATAGATTATCAATTATATCGTATGTTTTTTTTTTTTTTGACGATAACTATTCATAATGATATTTTCAGGAAAAAAAAAAAAAGAAACATTAATACAACAATTGGTGCACTTTATTTAAGTTGACAATAAAAGAGGCTGCTACCAATGGTTATGGCGTATTAATTATAAGAATTAGGAATACTATTTCAATGATTTGACAAGAGAACAGCACTTCCCATTTATACTTTTTATCAATTATCAATTTTTTTTATCAATGAAAATGAACTTCTCTATTTGATTGACATGTGAGCATAGTCAATGCCACGCGTATATAGTAGCCTACAACCTATATACTACATTTTCAGTATTTAATTTTTTTTTTCTTTTCAAAAATTTAAAACGTTTACATTTTTAAATGTTGCTTTCTTTTTTCTCTTTTTACCCGATATACTATACTACAGTGATATATTTTATAACACTGCAATTTAAATAAACTTCTCAATTGATGTAATGGATAAAAAATTTATTAATTATTAATATTTATACAAAATATATTGACAAGTTGTTAGAGGGTAGTAAACGATTTCAATCCTATCAAAATATAAGTTTGATCCTTGAGAAGTATACTTTATTGAAAAGAGACAAAAAAGACCAAGATAATAACCTCCTAATTATATAAAGTGATACACAGTTTCGAGCGCAATATCTTTAATCTTAAAACGTAGTATTTTAAAATTTATAAATAATTAAATGTAATAGTTTACAAGCTTCTTTATGCTTTATGTATTATCGGTTGCTTGCTAAATTGCCTCTTATCATTGTTAGAGAATAAAATCACCCATTCGTAATTATAAATAAGAATATATAATTTAATTTTAATAATATATGTTATATGTTTATTAAAAATAAAATATCTCTTATTTTAATAATTATAAATAAGAGTTTCCTTCCCCCTTGGGAGTGTCGTAGTTAAGCTTGTGTTTATGTATGGTGTAGGTTGGATTCAATGCACAAACGTTACTATTTATGCATGTCTCATATCACACATGACATCAATTATAAAGTGGAGAATGCCAAATCACATTCAAGTTCTTCAATGATAACATTCCAATGACTGGGATCGAGTTCTGGAGTCGACGAGGAAAAAAAAAAAAGAAAAAAGAAAATTCTCCTTTTCATTACGATGGGTCTTTATAAGTGGGTCACTGGGAAAAAATAAATGAAAGTGTTGAATTGAAGAAAAGGGGCTTGTCAAATTCAAAAGTATATTTAAATTTAATGGTCCATAAATTGCAAGAAAACCACATCTCATTCTCTATAATTGGAAGTTCAAGATTTGTTTTCCTAGATTTATTTGAGATAATTAAGTGGTTATTTATTAAAAAAAAATGAGTGGTCAATTCCAAGCTGATCTGTAATTGGCTTTCCTTTTCAATCTGTTTTAAGGAAAACAATTTCTGTTTTGCGTTCTGATAAAATCTTTTGGGCGCCCTGTACAAAAGGGGGCAGGGATTCTCTACAGTTGAGTATAGTCTCCAAATCCAATAATGCTTCATTATCGCAAATTGTAGGCTATAAGCTACAGACCCACTAGGATTTGGACGGTGTGCCTAAATCACATATTTAACATTTCTTTTGTATGCTAGATTAAAATTATAATTACTCGTCAACAGTGACATGACAGAGCCATAAATTAAAATTAAAAAGATTAAAAATTTTACTATTTTAGTGGATAAAATTAAAAAATTTTAATATTTTATAGCTGATTTGTTTTAAAAAAAAAAAAAATCTCTTAGGAGGGAAGGGGGCCACCCCTAGCTCCATCAATGATTGTGAATTTACTGTATAGTATTTTACCAAGAGATATGATAATTAAAATGAAGATAAATTGTATTTTCAAATGAATTTTATTTACAAAATACAAAATAAAGTTCGAGGTTTAAAATTTAGAATTGTTAACGTCAAAATAACTTTACTTAAATATTATACTAATGAAGTGTAATCTATTAATTAAATATCTAAATTTTATTTAAACAAAAACTTTAAAAAATTAATTGAAATAATATAGCATTCATTTTATGTTTTATTAAAATAATTTGAAAAAAAGAAGAAGAAAATATATTATGTAAAAATGAAAAATTCTAGATAAATTAATAAATTATGTCTTTGATATTTAATTTTTTAATTATGCTATTTTTTTTTATAAAACTTGTAAGTCAAGAGTACTCTGACAATAATATTTACTATTTCTTTAGCCCTATTTGACAATAATTTTCATATAATGCTTAGGTTATATAAGATCAAAATACTACATCTTTTATTTATATGTGTTTAGATTTTGAGTAAGCAAATTATAAAATGTCAATTCTTTAACATTTCATTTGAATTCTAAAATAGTTTGAATTGTTGCGCAGTAATAAAATTGAAAATGAATATGAATAGTTTTTAATCATATTAATTTTTCAGTCAAAACTATAAGTACTACATGAAATTTTCGGTTTTTTCCTCTTTTCCGATCCCTTTTTTATAGGTACAGAATTCTATACCTCTAAATTAAGTGAGAAAGAATTCTTGCCGGTTCATCTCACAAGTTAATGATATTAAACCAATTAATTTTACCCAACAACAGTTTATCACAATGTGTCATCTTGCATGTTAGGAGGTATGCCCATATTTAGAATTAAATAGATATAGCACTATATCTATAAAAAGTAATAATGTCCTAAATTAATAATCTCTGTAATAATTATTTACTGTTCCAACTTAAAATTAATTTATATTCAATTAATACACTCGTCAAAGCAAATAAAAAAATTATTAATTTATCGGATGATTAAATTTTTATTTGCAAAATTTTTGCTTAATGTTATCTTATTTTTAAGTAATAGAATTTTTATGATTGAAGATATATTAATTAACTTGTAGATGTTCTGTAGTATATGCATATCCAAGCTAATTGTCATCCCTTTGAATACGGATTAAGTCGCTCTCAGCCATTACTATCAATCATTTTGAGTGGGGAAATAAAAGGAGCTGAGCTTCTCCTTTCACGTCTTATTCATTCAGCAATGATCCTTTTCTAATTAAATATTTTATCAAGTTCTGATATCAAATAATACGAAACACATTTTTATTAATTCATCGGTCTTATCAATCCCTTTACTTAAAAATTTACGTTTTGAGGTCGCTTACTGCCACAACACCTCTTTATTGATGTTAAATATTCAAAAAATGTTAATTTTCGCTGTAATGTGGGTTTATACTCAAGTCAAATATACACTTATTGTTATATTAATTATGCAAACACATTAGTCTAATTAATTTTTTTTTTTGGGTCAAAGAAATTATTTTATAAGAAATTTTGTGAAATATCCAAAGTAGATATGCATTAGATGAGTGATGAGGACATAATAAGTCATAGGTTGCTATCAATTAAGTAAAGCATAAACAAATGATCATCCAAAGAAAAGACAAATAATTATCTTTGGGATCATTCCTACAAAGATTTGAGTAGTAAGAGTGATTAATTATAATTAGCACTAACACAACAAGACTGATCTTTCTAAGGAACAAACTTTGAAAAAAATGTCAGATCAATAAGGACAACTAGTCAAGGGAAGAATGATGCATCCTAGAGACAAAGATTTTCACTTACCTCCACTATATTCTTAATTTAAGATTATAATTATTATTTTCATTTTAAAATACTTTTAAACACAAGTTCACAAGTTGGCAAGTTGATCATCCTTGTGTGATTTACAATTGCCTCCGCACATTTAATTATATTTTTAAAAAATAAGTGATTGAATTCTTTAAATTTTATTAAATTCGTAGTATTATTTTGTTTTCCATAATAATTTTGTCTCTGGATGGTTACCATTACTGAGCAGTTTTAACGATCACATTAACCGAATTTAAATATAGTTATATAAAGGTTAGAATTATATAAACAAAATATAAGGTATCAATTATTACCGATATTATTACCGATTAATATATATTATATTATATATATATATATTATATATATATACTAATATATATATATATAAAAAGGTATCAATTGATATAGATTAAAAAACTAATAAACAATTATAAAAATGTTAAATAAAAGGATTATAATTTTATCATTTGCCATTAAAAAATAATTAAATTAATGGTATTGTATTAATAAACAAAAATTTAATGCTTCTGTAAAAGGATAGTGATATTTGCGTTTATCTTGAGTCATATTTGGTTTTTATCTTGATCATAATATACACCTTCACTATATGTTAGATTGTTTTTTTTTTTATTTTTGTAACCACCGGTAATCCTTAATCCTGTTACTAGAGACCACCTAATTCGGACTCGGAGATTAATCACAGGTTTATTAAAAACTCTTCAGCTCTTCTCCTCCATTGTCATAATATCCCAGCTAGTGAGTTTTGTGTTAACTATTTTTTTTTTTTTTTTTTTTTTTTTTCGGACCAAGCATTTATTCTAAGTTTTGACAAAAGTCAGCTATTTGTTTAATTGTTTGACTTTTTTATAACTTCGACAGGTAAAATTTACTTAAAAATAAATTCTAATAATATGTAACCAATTTTTTCAATAAATTTTATTTGTTATTTATTATTTGAAAAAAAAGGAAGTAAAGCATAAG